CCACCGTCGTGCATGTTTGCTTCAACAAACGGGAGTTCAGAGTTAATCTATAGTCACCACAAATTCTAGGTGTCTTGCCGTCCGACTTCAGTGGCGTAACGATAGGAGTACACCATGCTGAAGACTGAATTGGTTCAATCATGCTTTTCGCACACAAATCGTTAAATGTCTTATGTACTGCTTCCCGAAGACAATAAGGAATTATTCGTCTTGTAAGAAAAACTGGATCACCCTGTACTTGAAGTTTTATAGGCTGAATTTTCATACCTCCACTGCACTTAGCACACCTAGCTATCGAATCATTAAGTAAAGTATCAGAATTCTCCTTAGAAACTAGGAAGAACAACTCCACTTTCAGCCTTTTCAAATTCTTTAAACCTTAAATTGACAGTCCCGTTTCGCTAACTAAAAATTCACAAGGTGTGTATGAAGAATTAACTTCTCTTATTAACAATTCACAGCATCCTCGTATGGGCAGTCTGTGTCCAGTAATCCTCAATATTGATACTTCAGTTGGTCGTACTACAACGTTAGGATCTAAGAATTCCAAGTTCTTGAATGAAATAATGGTTTCTATACTGCCTGTGTCCACAATAAAGTCATGAAATGAACCAAGCGATGTATATAGTCGCTTTTGAATATGAGCATTAGCTTTCGAAATAGTAGACAAGGATAAATGATCGCTAGAAACATCCGAATTATTGAGATTTAAATGACAAGATTTAGTACTACTTGAAGCAAAATGAACAGTAGCTTTGCATACTGACTGAATGTGTCCTATCTTACCACATTTAAAACATTTAGCATTACGAAATGCACATGAATTACGAGGATGAAACTTTCCATATGATAAACATTTACCAAACTTCATCTCACCTTTGTGATTTGCTTTGTAATCCCTTGTTGAAACACTTTTCATATTTACACGAGAATAGAATTCACCGTTAAATGAACGCAAGTTCGATTGACCCTGAGATTGTAGTTCATCAGGACGACTAAGCAAAGTATTAGAAATCTTCATCGACTGGATATCTAGTTCATTCACTGCTTCATAGTTAATACACGCAGTTCTAGCATCTTGAAATAAAACAGTTTGGCATTTTTAACAGCTTTCTTTCCTAACTCGGTATGTTAATTCCTGCAATTAATCGATCTCACAGTTGTACATGAAGTTGATCACCGAAATTACACTTGGCAACTTTTTGATCATTTTGACGAACCATCTCATGAAATTTCGCCCTTTCATGGCATTCAAATCTGGTGCATTTTACATGATTTATTAATAGCTCTTTAAGAGTTGCATAAGGAAGTGAGATAGGTTTTTCTGTATATGCCGAAGTTTTTTATAAGCTGTAAGCTTCTCTCCCAATGAATGTCAGGAAATGTGCCACAATTTTATCACGACGCCAGTATAATGTTTCGAATTATTCGAATTATAGCACGAACTAAGAGTCCAATAAATAACGCGATTGAATTAAGAAGACACAAGCACAACCGAATGTACTGTATTTGGAATTCGAAATCGTACAATCAACCAGTACGATAGTATCATTAGTTCGTTCAAACACCACACGGACATATTTGTACTTACTTAGTCAATTGATATTATGGAGAATACAAGTCAATCAACATGGATTATTAAACGACATATAGGTTCCAGTCTTAAAATAGGTTAATCGTGGAATTTATAGCTGAATTACAACGTTTTTCGATCATGACTTTAGGAGGCAATTGTTCCACTGATATATGAATTATTTGCGCTTTCCATACTGCATATCGTCCCGATTGACGAGTGTGAGATAGAGCAAACGTTTTGTTACAAGCTACCTGCTCATTTCATTCAACCATCTCACATCTTGTTCATTCTTATCTTATCAAAAACATGATTGATTGTAGTACACATCTACCAGATGTAAATGAAGTTGGACATCATGTACATCTTTACTTTATAATTAAATATGTGTTATTTTTTGATAGATCGAATCGCCATTTTTGATCGCACTCTGATCATAAATGCCACTATGAACCTATCAAGAAATGTTCCAGATCGATTTGTGAATCTCTACAATATTGAAGTCTATAGGCAATTAGAATCAGATTAATTTCAGTTTAGAATAATTAGAATGAGGAAACTTATAGAATATTGTGATTTTGGTAAAAAATTACACTTCTAAATCACATTAGCTTCATAACACCTCATACTCTTTGAATGATACAATTTTCCAGGAATCGAAGTATCATTCAACAGATTGTTGAGGAATAAGATTTTAAAAAATTCGAGAATTCTGTCTGATTCATCGCATTGAATATAAAATAACATCAAGTTCTATTATTTCTGTAATATGCAATAAAATATTCAAAGTAATATTGATTACTTCTTCAATCTCAGTGTAAACAACGTGTTTCTCTGATGAACAAAAACATATTTCTGTTGACCTCTCTTGTTTATAGAATCAGCTATGATTATACTTTGTTATCATTGATCACCTCATTGCATAATATGATATTCTCTGTTCTGTATCGTGGGTGTAATATCAATCTTGGTTAGAGTAAAACAACATCGTTTTCTAATAGTATGCTGTTTATCTGGCTGACAATCCTCGACATACAAACATCAAAGATGAGTGAAATTCTCATTTTACAAATTATTACTACTTTTCTGGTTGTCAATTCATAGATGATCTTGCTCCAGCCATGAATAAACACTCCAATCATTTACCATCTCACTTGTATTGTTCAGCTAAGTTCATGTTTTAGGATAAGTCTTCTCTGTGATTCCTGTTTTGTCACACTTTTGATAGATTTACATGCACTGAATGAGTTATATAGCGTAAAACATGGAATGTATCTCTCTGGTGATTTGAAATTAAACTACTATGGTGAATGCGATAAGGCTTGAATCCATGTATCAATCTGGGCTAGGCCACCATTAAAAACCCGGAACCATCGGACGGCCGTTTAGCATAATACTCATGAATCCCAATATTAAAATTACTGCAATCTCAACGGATACCCACTCTGACAATATTATAATGCTGTTTAAAGTTTTGTTAGAAAAAGAAAAGTCTCATATATATTGCATCATTTGGTGTCATTATTAACGCTAACACTCCATTTACAGAATATCTGAATGATGTTCAAAACTTTCTACAAGTTCGTAAATTTTTTGTTTCATACATTTTGTTTTAATAATTTGAAAGATACTTCATTTTAATTAACGCACAAGTTCTTGGAGGTGTTAGATGCAAACTAATGTTCTCACTGAAGAATAACTGTCTAGGTAAGTTAGATACGCGCCATTGCCCGAATGAAACCAAAACAATGTGATTGGGTAATATGACGATTGTGAAATTCATTATAAATTTAAATGTACACCCATCTATTCAATCAATAATTGTTCAATGAATCAAATCTAAATTACAATACGTAAGGAAGTTGATACAGGATGAGAGAAAATTATCAATCGGAACAAATCAATGTTATTTCATCCTGTCTGGTTAGATCACGCATAGATTCGTTCAAAAGATACTACTCGATTGCTTGATAACACAGAGTATCTTCGATTTTGGAAATGTGCCTCAATTCACAATCAAAAATATACAATTATAGTCAATGCAAGCAACACAATCAAAAGGAGGAACCAATATGGCTACTGCCAACACTTAGTATCAAGTAAACACAACATAAATGCAGTTCAGGAAGAAACACGGAAACTTAGTGAAAGCGTAAGAAAAATAAAAACTATAATAAAATACAAATATGACCAACTCAAATGGGATAAAAAAGAATCACAAAGTGTAAAACTAAAGGAACAACAACAGGAACAAACTACAAATGTATACATGGAAGGATTTTTGCACACACACACACACACACAAAACCTTCAAAATGGATTATACATGAGGTATTATTCCATTCAAAACATCAGTGAAAAATGTTGTGTAGACGAATTATTCTTTGTAAAATCAACGTTAGATAAAGAGAAGAGTCTATTTAACCTGAAGGAATAAAAGCAGTGATACTTTACAAGACTATTTATTTCACACTAGACTAGTTTCTCATAAATCCATGAGAACACGACTGATTATTAGCCAAATTAACTTTATTAATGTGATCAGTCATTGACGCAAACACTTCAGTTTTTTTCAAATCTCTCATTTTGTTACCAATTTTACGGCAAAACTGTTACTAGTTCACATAGTTACTAGTTCTACATCCTTTTTCATTCCCACATGAGTATCAGCTGGACCCTTTAAAATTATTTCATATTCAACACATTCATAACACCTAATTAATAACAGTCTGTCAACCAGCTCGCACTCAACAGTGAATAGTCCAGTAACGAAGGATTAATGTGCTTTGTTAAATATTAATGCCGCATTCCGACACTTAATTTTAAAACAATGAACGACGTCAATTTCGAATGACGTTTCTCAGTATTGAGACTTTAACAAAATGGACATTTACAACGGACTCAGTTTTCATTTCGATGTTTACATAATCACGTATACACGATACTGTTCATTGACAAGTGCAATGTTGTAACCTCTTGTGAAATTACCCATGTTCCCATTGAATACAAACAATGACATAAATACAGAAAATTATATTTTTATATTCTACCAAACAAAGTGACATCAGTCATTAAGTAAACAATCATCAATTTGATATGCAGTTCCATGAAACAATCTTTAATTTATTGAAATGATTAAAAAAATAGAAAGTGTATTTACTAAACTACAAACTGAAAATAATAAAGTCAACTTAATTAAAACAATTGACAAGCTGTTTGTGAGGACTATGGATGAATTCTGTTCCTTCTATAGAACCATAGCCAAATGCCAATGCCAATGCATACAATAAGGAAAGTTATAACTAATGGTACAACAATGTACACGTATTGCAGTGATTTTCCTTTGTCAATGCCTTCAGTTGTATTTGTAGTCATGTTCTGAAATAAACGAAATAGTATAATGATTAAAAAAATATCAAATATTTACCAAATGTGATTCAGTACTTGGACTAGTCTTCTTCAATTCAGTTCTTAGATCAGTTTCAGTAGTTTCTAGAGTTGTTGGTTCAGTAACAACGTTGACAGTCGAGCTCTTTGAAAGAAGGAAACAGTGGAAATACAATTGAATATCAAATATTTCATCATTCATTATACACCATTGTCAGTATTGATGACACAAGTGAATTCAACAATTAGTTACATAATTTACATTTGCACAATATGATCAATGAATAATGATTTAGGATATCTGCTACTGATTTAACAGTCAATGTGATGAGCACACACATTTTCCTACAACTAACTGACAACTTATTCGCGTGATGAAATTTGTTTCCTGGATGGTTCACCTTATCTCAATGTAACTAACTGACGGCTTTATTGAAGCAATCCATTCAGAACACAAATTTCTCAACAGCGTATCAGTAATATCTGTTCTGAAATTCAACAATAGGAATCCACAAACATTCACTTTCCAAACATCATGCAGAATTCATAACACATCATGCTTCATCATTTAAACTGATCTTATCGGAATTGAGTAACAATTCACACATACAGACGGTTTCATATTGGACATCGAGAATCATTACACATTCTATGAGCAAAAAAAATTAGCGTGTTTTCAACCATAAGTGTTAAACGACGCGTCTGTTGATTGTTGAATGTTCACATGGAAAAATGGCATCGTACTCATATCTGATTAAACGTCATCAACGTATACAATAAACTACTTGTTTGCAACAAGAAAATGTTCTTCCGAGTAAATAGATTCACAATGTAGAATATGGTGATATTGAAAACAATCTGTGAAGTCTACCAATTACTTACTTTATTCTTGCAACCATTTACTTTGAATTCATGAAGATCCTTATCATTGCTGGTGATGCACATATTGGCTGTTTCACACCAAATACACGTTGTATTCGATGTTGTTGCTTCTTGACATGCTTTATTCGAATTGTGTTTTGGACAATCTTCAGTGGGAAGAATGGGGTGATGGCATAACAAGTTATCAAACAAAAGATAAGTGAATTAGAAAAAAATATAACAATAACTCGATGATATAATGATGAATTTGAACTTTGCGACTATTTCATGCACAATGCACAATCGACTAACAGACATATATTATGACATCTATCGTTTTGTAACATTATGTACGTTTAAGTGAATTTTATCCACGTTAGGACGTGAAGGCCATCCATCCTTCATCATTTCAAATAATCAACAGAGAATCTACGAATAGAACAACGTCATTTGACACTGGTAGCTAAATTTCATTTAGTTATTTACTGAAATTGCACATGAAGGTTTCAATTTTTGGAAACAAAATTGATGCATTCAACTGTGAAAATAGTCATTTCTGATACAATAAGGTTTAACATACCCCCGAGAGCTTCATACTCCACTAACGTTCCACTTTGGATCCATTTCTTAGGAACATTTATTTTATTTCCTTCCTCATCTTGTATAAAAATAATTTTAAAGTAGAAAAGAACTGAGATTTTGTTTAACAAACGTCTGTTAAAAAATGAGAATGAATTCTCTGAATATCCATGATGAAGATATTCACACATCATAGTTATATTATTCAGGTGTGTATCAGCGGATGTGAGTCGTAAAATTCAATGTTTACGGAATTCAACATATAAAACCGAGATAACAGCAATACGAATACATCAAAACAGCGACAATCGTTTTTGTGACACTAACAAGGATGACGGTTGTTCAAATGAAGACACAGATACTTGATCTCAAATCTGATTAATTCAGCGGTTCACTGTGCAAAAGAGTTGATCGAAACACGCGGATTTCTCAGGACTAGTAAGCACCTTGATTTCTTATCACATATGATACTACAACTTCGCTTCAAGATATGTAGACACATCATCCAAGCTGAATTTTCAACAAACAGTGGTGTTTCAACAATGAGTTCATCAGAAACATTCAGATTTTATTTCACACGCTCTTCATCAACACTTCAATGACACTTAGATCAATCTGTTTTCACACGAATCTACTGAATGATGAAGACTGTAAGAAAGATATATTAGATCACTATGACGAAGTACAGCAAATCTCTGTTTTGACGTGGTGATCAAAGGGTACATAAAGAAGTTAATATTAGACTAATACATGACTGCATGTGTAGTCCGGTTTAAATCACAATGCAAATAACATTTGTTACCTTCTCCGCAATCAGTATTAGCCTCAATACTCGATACCATTTGATTTTGACCAATTACCATAGGAACCTGGAAAGAAGTAACGGAAGTTTGAGTAAAGGTTTGTCAACACACAACCACCTTTATCAATGCCAACGAAACAGTGAAGGACTGTGTCGTTATTCATATCACCTCACATAAAAACAACTAGTTACACAGTAAGCATACTGATCTCCTCACTTTATTCAGGAGTTTGCCTCATCTAGTCTACGAGGATAATCTGACTCACTTCAGTTGTCAACTTCACTGAAATCCAATGGACGATCTATCTATCATGCAATGATGAACTACACTGTAGGATGAATATCTACGTCACTTGACGGAAGTGTGATTGTGAATGACTGCAATGCTGCTGCACGTGAATTTGTTGTCATGTGGAGGAATTGTGTCAATGTACTCACTTTCATCCATCACCGTACATACAACTCCTGATTACCTCGAAGCAATCGAAATGGATTCAGTTCAACACAAATGAAATCTTTCATCTCACCTGACCTTTCTAGTTACCACACATCTATTGTATTTCAAATTGGTGAAGTACTAAATGCAGACATTCGAACAAGTACACAGTGAGAGACGATCAAGCTTTAAACAATTTATCTCACAGATTATTTGACAATGAAATTTTCAATTAGCTGAACTTCAGAAGACGTAGTTAAGCTTGACAGAAAATGACTGTGTTGGAAAGTTATATATAATACACTGTTTGTCCTTAATCGGCCCAAATATGTCAGATTGTCACTTCCAATAATTCATTGTTTTAAAAAAAGTGCCGGAATAATATGTGTCATTACGGAGTTATGAAAAGAGTCGTATAGTCTGTGTACACGTTAAAATATGTTGATATCCTTCTATTGTGTTCAATGTATCTTGATGCATTCGACAGTGTTGATTTGCGCAAAGTAAGATAATGATCCAAAATACTTGAAACAACACCACATTACTATTCAATTGTGCAACTTACGTTATTATAATAGAATGATATCTTCCCATCCGGATATATCAAAGTAAATATACTGAATGCAGGAACTACAAGCAGAAAACTATCGTTATTTAAAATTCGGGGTATTAGTGATTAGCATGTTATTGTTGCATGCGGAAGTGTATGTGCCTACGTACAAAGTGATCAGTTTTAGGCAGGTACTTTCTTCGTTATCTCAAATGTTTTCTCTGGTAGGATTCGTAATTAATATAATCTAGTGAAAGTCGTACAAAATGAAGCAAACATGCATCCTTCAATATAAATATCAGGTAACTACGTTCCGAAGCTGGATTACAACCCCGTTTTCATATCGAAATAATAAGTCATCGGGCTTCCAATTAAATCTGATAGTCGAGGAGGTATTGACATTTCTCAAAACTCTCTATAATTACAGCTGGAAAAATCGACCCTTAGTAGACATGGCATTAGCTGTGGTTTGTTTGTTTACAAATAGAACATGGGTAACTTAACCGGTTATGCAACGCATTGGTTTATCAGTGTTCGGTAACGATGGAAAATGAATAGCTTCAGATTGTTCGTCATGGTGATTTCTTAATTTGAATGAATAATTCTTATGAATGACCGTGTGGTGAGTAACACAAATTTACTTAATTCAGAATACAGACTTCAAATCAAGTTTCATTGAAGCCTGTTGACGAAGATGTATCTCTGCATTAGTTTATCCACAAGTAAAATGTGTTTATTCATACGAATTTATTTATTACACTTGAAATCTAGTGTGCTCCTGATTATGTCAACTGTCCTTCAGCTCTCAATCAATGTGTTCAAACAATCGGTGGATTCCACATATAATTCCCCCTTCCTAATTTGCTGGGATGGTGACACTATATTACCTCTGTCAGTTTTCGAAAGGAATTCAGTGATGTAAAATGAACAGAAAATGTGTAAGCAAGTACTGCGAATGATGGTGTAGGTGTTTAAATATTTCATGTGTAATCAAATAATCATTTTATGGATACATACTTTTATCATCAGCTTTTAGATCATAAGAACATATGACGGCTAATAATTCCCCTGAAATGATGAAAGTAAAAATATTTGTGTTTTTACATAAATGTATAATGAATATCCATAGAGAATGAGTTTGGACACGAGTTATCATCTTCCTTTCAAGATTTAAGTAAATCGGTTCAATTAAATGGGAGTTGAAAGGAGACGTATCATTGTTTCAACGATATGATGAATGTTTCAAACCAACCAACTGAGAAGAATATTTTACTTCCAAAACGTTGATTTTAAAAGCTTCAGACAATCTAATAGACCGGTAATATCTAAACGACAGTACACATACAAAATCATTTTCTGACATTGTGTTATTCCAATCGAACAGTGTCCCCTCAATTGAACTAATTATGAGTCAGAAATTCTACTTTCATGTCACTAAATGCAATAATTGAACAAAATGAGTGAACTTCATTTCGATGTTCCAGTTGTTCCAGGTCGAATCAATCATGTTTTACTAGTGCATTGTTTATGGTAATGTTTTATCATCTGTCATTATGATTATTAATGGCTGGTTTAGATCCATACGAATATGATAGTCAAAACTGTGATGAATACACACAGTGGTTCACAGATAGTGACTAAGAGACATTAATTCTTTATGAAGTAAGTTAAAGAAAACATTTGAACGTCATCAAATATAATTTGGTAGTCCATGTGATTTAATAATCCCAAAATGATTTCTCACACAACATCGTTTATTGTTGTGCATCTGTTCAGCTGGATTCGTTCGATTTATCATTTCTACTCAATCAATTTGTGTTTATTTCAAAGTGAACCATCTTTCTCACTTGACAGTAATGAATAGGTGTTGTGAACACATTTTTGGAGCATCAAATCACACAAGCAAATTAATCCCTGTGAACTGGTCAGCTCTCAAAATATAACCAGATCAAATATTGAATCATTTATGCAAAATAATAGTGAGAAATGAAAGGTAAAATTAAATTATCATCGGATAATAGAGGTACTCACGTTGATCCGAAATTTCTGTTTTCAAAAGACGAGCGATCGTCATATAATTGTTAATATCTCCAATCTTTTTTTGATCGTACATAGAAATTTCACCTGTATTTATCAAATGAAAACATGAAATTTAATTGACAATCAGTAGAGAATGAATTAAAGACTTTTAGATTAACTGGAGACAAAATGAATTTGATGGATCGTAATTGAATTTCCGTTAGACTTTAAACTGTTTACAACTTGAACGAAATAAGATATCAGTAGACGTTTTGAATGTTAGTAAGGGGATAAAACTGATTTACTGAAGAAATTAAAGCAAATTCGGTCCACGGAATGAAATGGGAATAAACAAAACTCGGTAATAATTTTAGTTCGATGAAAATGATTCTCTTACCAAAAATGTCAATTTTGAATTTGGTGACTGTAGTGCCGTAAAACGTAAACGGGAATGTTGCATTGATCTCCTGATTATAAGCAAACATATGGATTAGTACCTCGATTGTAAAATCTAGCCAACTCACTTTTTTACGAACCAAACTTTCAAAGCTGCCATTAATAACTGGAAGAGGTTGATTAGACCGAATTGTCTGGGAATAATAATAGTGATGAGACTGAATGTGTGTATTGGAACCAGACTGATTACTTACATATTTATTTTCATCATCCTCAAAAATTACATTTTCAGATTTTGTGCAAATGTCATGGCAGTCGAAGAATGTATAAATTAATACGATGATCAAATACAGCAGTATAAACTGGCCAGTTGCAAAGCTCTGCCTGGAATGGTTCAGATAAAAAAGTAGACAATCTTATTTCATTGAAACAAATTCAAGTTCATATAACACAGTCATTTGCTTTAACTGTACAGTCAACACTCACTTCATCTTCTTGTTCACAACGTTAATAATTGTTGTTAGACCTTGTCGTGTTTATATCAATTTTTTAACTGTTTGTTTGTTTCTTTCTTATTCGACGATCCAAAGTGACCATCGGAAACATCACGTTTGATAAAATCATATGATCATTGTTAACCACTCATCGTGAAACAAGAACTCATCGTAATGCAATATACTTCTAGCTGTTGTACTCTAAAGGCTGACACTTATTCACCATTGGTTGAAATTCCAAGGCCTCTATTGGTAAAAATTATATTGGATATGATTAGCAATAGTTTAAACTTAGTAAGGGGTTTCTAATGTTGATCAAAATGTGTGCTCATATTTTCACGAACAAACATTTTGTTACTTTTATTGATTTGTGAACTGTTTACCAATGGTGCATTGCTTTGGTTTGATAGGTTAAAATCCAAGTAACAAAATCTATCTTGATTGGACAACTTAATTGGCATTTGTACATCTGAATTTATGTTTTATGACATAAATCCTGTCAGACGACTCCATAATCATTGAATGTGGGATTGTATCTTCCGAACAGTCACAAAAAGCCCATTTGACCGGCACATTACACCGTTAGCTCTGAATAGATTTAGCGATCAAAATAGACAAAAGGTTTCTTATTAGTCAGGTAGAAGTGAACGTGAATGCGTTTACACTAAACGTAATGAGTCAATTACTGTTGAATGATTAACAGTGTACACTTTCGTAAACGAAAAATAATTTCAGCGGATGAAGCCCAAACTATCCATGATGTGGTTATAATTGAAAAATGCTATTCTTAGCAGTGTGATGGTGAATTTTGCGCTCCAAAAAGATGTCGACAGTAACCAAAATATTGCTTCCACGTGTATCACATTCTGTTGACGAATAAACGATGTTTGTTGGGTGATTTCGCGGAATCGTGAATATCAGAATTGGTTTCAGTTATACATTAAATTGTCCCACTAATATCTGGCCTATTATCAAATTATTTTTATCATTTATTATCATGACATGTAGTCGCAGTATTTTTGGGGTAATCTAGACTTAGATGACACTCTGAATGATTGTGAGACAAATGTTTCTAATTAATCAATGTCTTAGCTCATCAGATTCAGTTTATCATAATGATTCACATATTTCTAATAAAATGTCTTAGACATTTGAGGAAAATATGTCGAGCGAATCTAATCATGAGCGAAATCGTTATGCAGTTTTGACAGACGCTGATTTTTCTAACGATCCATTACTCACCAATAAAATTCCTAATATATTTGAAGAAACTATTACAGAAGAATCAAATCAAATGAATGACGCTACTCCGATCCTGTATGCGCGTTTCGGAGATGCAGCACACATCGATGGCGCGAGATTCTAAAGTCCTAGCTAACGAAGCCTGTTGTCCTATTTGGCACAGTGTTCGGACGTTAAAAGCTCCTACGTGTAGTTTAGAGCGTGGTTTCAGGAGACCAGGAATCGAGTTCCACGTACTCGAATCGTTTGCCCTAGCGGTGCGATGTGATAAAGAGACATGAGGAGGGTTAGTCATGGAGATAAGAGAGGTATTAGGAGGTGTAGGAAGGATTTGAATGTGACTAACTTGGTCTCGTGTGCTGTTACGGGTATGACGGTTGATGTCACTTCCCGGCTACCCACACCGTGGTAGGGTATTTCTTGAGGAACCTGAAAACGAAATTGGATTAGTGTTGATCTTGACGACCTGGGAGCGTGACCGCAGAGCCCAAGCGACAACTGCTTGCGGCCGGTCGCGCACGGCCTTTTTGTGGAAGGTTTTTGACGTGTTAGCTCCGTTCTTCAAAGGGCCTGACCGCCGGAGACGGAAATCCGTGAAGTAAGGTGAGGTGTGACATTTTTAGGGTCGACCTTTTCTAACCCCAAACCCTTCTTGTGGGAATACAGCATCGCTGTCATGCTGGTTGTCTGAGGGAAACACCTTACTGCTGTCACACCTCTCTACAGTCAGCAGTACGACTTCGCCCTCAGACCTTGAGTTGCTGCTTTTAGTCTGACCGTTCTCCAATCGACCTGCCTGGCATGGTAGAACCTACAGGAACATATGTTTCAGCCAATATAGCTCGGTTGGGTCATCACGATAGGCAAGCCCGACCACCGCGTCAAGGTAGAAGCTTCGGTCAGGATACATACCTACACACTCACACACAAATACGATTTGTTACTCAGTTAAGTATTTAAGTGTAGTTAAATTCTTCACATGCTTTGTAGTTAACCGACTCATTTTAGCCTATTATACAAAAAAAATCGACATGAAAATATGATTGGTTTACCACAGTATAATCCTGATTGTTAAAAAGCTGTAATTTTGATTTTGATTATTACCCTGAGGAAGTTCAGACAAGTTAGTTGGACGAAACGTTGGAATTAGTTAAATTTCAATCACTGAGAATATTTCAAATATAATTTTCACATATAATGATTTCTCTTTACTCGGCGCTCAATTACAATCAAATTATTCGTTCTAATTTTGACGAATATTCGTATAGAGAGTTTAAAAGTTTTAAAGAATTTTTTGTTTAGAGTTTTCTTAGTGAGTTAGTTTTTATACGAGATAGGGTCGCTAACCCCATGCCAAACCTTACTCCTTTCTCCAGGTTTGAAACTGGCAGTAGACTCCGGAGGGACAATGTAGTGTCAGTTATTATGCTAAGCCCATATACTTTATTCTAGCTATAGAATATCCCATTCTATTCATCCTACTCGAGCCATACTTTGACCTTGTTATTTATTCGATTATCAATCTAGACTGTTTTTATATGAGCGTATATATGTGTGTGCCCTTCTTGTCCCATTAATCACATGTCTGTAGCTTATTTTTGTCTGACTATAGATATTGAGTAACGCTTGACTAAAATGGGAGTTGGCTTCCCAGCCATCTTCCCTGCGTGTCATTTTTCTCTGATCTGTTTCATTTGCTTCATATACAAAATATATGTATTCACAAGTCAATTCTCATTATTTAACCTATTTAATTCCGTTATTGACTAAAGCGATTTGAGTCGACTATTATATACGAGAATAGGCGATAACAATCATTCGTACCCTCTGAATGGAGTCAGATCCACGGGCCACTAAAACAACATGTGGAGCGACATCAACGTTTTCCAAATGACCTACTGATACAATGACTATTGAATGATGTGCATTTAGGAATAAGATTTGAAAAATTGAGAATTCTGTCTGATTCCCTTCATCGACTATAACATTACACCAAATTCTATCATTTCTGTTACATTCTGTGCAAACATTTAAAGTGAAATTTATTATTATTGTTTCTTTAATCTCAGTGTAAATTATCTGACTATCTAATTAACAAAAACATATTTCTGTTGACCTCAGTTATTGACAGAAATCTCAGTGATTATAACTGTGTTGTCGTCGTCAGTCACCTCACACCATCTCATTAATCAAATAATATGGTATTATTCTATATCATCTATTATGTATAGTGGGCGTAATATGAATCTTATTTAGAATAAAAAAACAACATCGCTTTCTAATAATAACTTGATAATTAGCCACACGTTCAGAAAATAGATGAGTGAAATTCTGATTTTTCAAAAGATTACTACTTTCTATAAACAAAATGAAATGAAAACAAATCTCTCGGATGTCAGTTTATAGAAGGTGTTGCTCCAGCTGTGTGTAAACACTGTAGCCATTCACTGTCTAATTTCAGATGAGTTTAGTGTTTGTTTCCCCACAGAATCATCCATCTCTCACTTCCTCCGTTTATCAATCTATGGATCGCCCATTAATAAACCTGATTCTTTGAGACTCGACTAGTTATCACTTCCTGTGTATATCGCTGATAAAATCCACGTCACCTTCTCTCTTCTATTTTATATCAATCACTGTGACGGACAAACTCACCCTCATCCGATATTTTGAATAAACACATTTTACTATTGACCAAATGTATGTTTTCACTGAATACTGATTATGGTTGCATATCATGGTTCAATGTGAGCGATCAAATTTTACATGAGGTTGAATACATTTTGACATGTCATTTTGTGCTGAAGTTTGCCCTCACTTTTCAACAGATTTGAAATGCGCTATTTCGGAAAGAAGCATTCGCAGTTGAATATTTGAATAGCATGTCAGGTTTGCACTGTCTCGCCAATTTCAGATTCATCGTTTTAGATGATTTTATTAAGGAGATAATTTAATTGAGCTA